AATTAATTAACGGAGATTAATCACAATGATATATACAAACTTTTAGATTTCACAAGAATATACACTCAATATAAAATTAGATAATGTAAATATGAAAACTATGTGTTTAATTTTGCGTAAAAAGAAAAACATAGCATGTTAAAGTTTTCTAATGCTATAACCAAGTCATTGAATTAAATCCAAGATTATTAATTTATTTTTCTAAAATTAGGCCAAATATTTGTGCACCATTTTTACAAGTATTCAACCCAACACTTCTGCGAGATGACAAAGGAAAACCAATCATTAGACAAATGTCTGATTAATTACGATATTATTATTAGAACTAAATTTGAAGAGGTTTAAGGGTCAATAAGAATTACCATGTCAGCTATTCTACCCTCAACAAGGATGTGCTTAAATCAACGTATCCAATTTGTAGACATTATTGTTGACATGATGCCTCCCCATTAGTCAACTCTAAAAGTGGCCAAGGTAGACTTGGTATACGTAAAACTTTTTTTTTTTATGAGAAGAAAATGGAAGATTTAGGCATAATCATAAGTTATATTTATTTGAATTGTTGAGCTTGACCTAGGTCAAATGATTTTTAAATGGGTAGTCATAAAATTTCAAGAAAAAAAAAAACTTTGTTTTATTTTAAAGGATAATTTATTTTAAAAAAACTCTAGTATTGAATTTTTAGTAGATGATACCTCATTTTTACTAAGGAACGTCTTTTTTAAAAATTTTAATAATGCCTTTGATTTGGACTATTTCAAGCTACGAATCTACGGACCGATTCGATCTAGTCTGAGTGTCACGGTTCGAGTTAGATAGATTCAGATCAAATCACTTCCAATCACAATAAAATGAATCAAACTTCATTGAATTTACGAATGAATGTGACTCGAGTGTGACTAAGGCAGCTTCATTAAACTAATTCAAACTTCTCAACTACTAACTCATGATTCTAAGATATTTATTATTAATTTTTTAAATTCTTATTATTTCAAAATGAATAAATATTTAGATAGGATATTTTTAGGTTGAATCGGTAATCAAGTATAACTCATTGAATTTTAATCAAATCTATTCAAACTTATTCAAAGTTACTAAGATGAGATGATAATATGTTTAGTATCACTTTTTTTATTTTGGTATAAATTTAGGATGATTAATTTTTTTAAAAATAAGATTTTTTTTAATCCAATATGTGATTGAATATAATTTGAGTGTAACACAAGCATAACTCTTTGAATTTTCATCAAACTTATCCAAACTCTCCGAAACTACTAGAGTGAGATGATAATATATTTAGTATTATTTTTTTATTTTTATATAAATTTAATATGATTAATTTTTAAAATAGTATTTTTTTATAATGAATCTATGATCGAGTATAACTTAAGTATATAATTTTTCTAGATAAATTATGAGGAGGAAAGGGAACGAGCAGAGGAGAAAGCCAAAGGGAGAGAGAGAGAGAGAGGAGACAATGATAGATAGAGGTGGAGTGAGAGAACGAGGGGGCAAAGATAGAGCAGGAGAAAGATAAAAAAAGAGCGGAGGAGGAAGCCAAAGGAGAGAGGTAGTAGAGCGGAAAAAAGGAGGTAGTAGCTGAGGTGGAATAGGAGGATAAGGAGACAAAAGTGAAGTAGGAGGAAGAGGAAGCCAATGTGAAGGGAGAGGAGACAATAGAGTGGGAGGAGAAGCAGCGGAGGTAGAATGAGAAGAGGATGAGGAGGAGCGATGGAGGTGAAGGTGGAGTAGAGGTGATAGGTTAGGAAATAATTATAAAAAAATAAGAAACAATCTAAGACTCAATCAAATCAAATTGAATAATTATAATTTAGTTGAATCAGTTTGGTTCGATTCATTTCAAAAAATTTGATTCAATTCAAAAAAATTGAATCAAACATAATCAAAAGACAATCGTTATCTTTTTATGATTTCATTAAAACTATTTTGTTCGAAGCTCTAACTAAAGCAAACCTTAGTAAAAACTAAATAAGGGCGCCAAATAATAAAAGCTCATTACTAGAATTTTTTTTTGATAAACTATCCTATTTTAAATATTTTTTTGTAAGTATAAGTAATTTAAGATAAAGATAAGAATAAATGTGTTTGAAATCTTGATTTTGAAACGAATATTCATATTATAATACTACTAGACTACAAAAATAATTATATAAAAAAGATTTATGAACGGATAATGTATGTGAATATGTGTAAATAAAATAATTTGACTCAAATTAATCAATTTTTATACTTATATAAGATATTTACTTACTAGAGTTTAAAATATCATTTAATATATTTAAAAAATTGACTAACTTAATTCGTAAAAACTTTAATGGATTGTCGAAAAGTCGTGACCTTATATCCCTCCGTCGTTTACCATTTGGAAGAAAAAAAAAACATTCGTAAGTCACCATTCAAAACTTATCATCGATGCTATCTATCCCTTACAATTCAGTTTCGCTATATTTGCTTGCACACATAAGCTTTATTGCACATGACAGTGGCACATCAATTTAATATTGAGACATTCATATTTCATTATCAATCTTCAGAATATGAAGACATTCATATTTAACCATCAACAACATCGTCCAGTATACTACAGGCTGTAGTTTGCTTGCACACATGAATGAGCTTTCATGCACGTGTGAGTAGAGTAGCAAACCAAGTTAAATCAACATTTTAATATTTTTGGATCGCCACTGTTTAGCTCCGTTTTGGTTCACCATATATATATATATATATATATATATATATATATATAGCTTGAGATAGTTTCGGTCGGTCTTACCTACTTAGAGACCCTTTGTGATATGACGGAACAATTAATTTATTAATCTAATAACTCCAAACGAGTTGATAACAGTAATTATTATTTACTCTTATAAATCAACTCATATCTCGACACTACTACACTAAGTATTAAATACCATATTGATTAATATGGAATATATACCAGATGATAAATATTTTAATTGAATTATCATAGATGCCAAAAACTTAGATAATAATAATAATAATAATAATAATAATAATAATAATAATAATAATAATCCGAAAACATATGTTTGTGAACTTTACTCGTCGGCACACCGACTGCACTTATCATCACTATTAATGTTTGATCGAGGTTTCTAGAGGTCATATATTTTAACGCTTGTGAATGCCTCATTAAATAACAGTCGGTTGGAGGCAATCGATCCAACACATCGACTACGACTTCATCACATGTGTCCTCTTCTCATTCCTCAACGAATATTATGAAGTGACGTATTAAATATCATGCTAGATCATGCTAAGATTTAAAGGTGGGATGACTCCTGTGTCAAAAGCAGCAACTCTCTCTCTCTCTCTCTCACTCACTCACTCTCTCTCTCACTCACTCTCTCGCTCCACTATCCTATATAAGGAGCAGGGAAGGGCAGTGGCCTAAGCCAGCGTTGAATCCTTCGTAAGATTGCATACTTTCCACACCATTCAAGCTCTAAACCACCCGCCCCCTCTACATCACTGCTTGCCGTCCCAGAAGCGTATATATATAAGAGAGACACAGTAGGAAGAGTATGGTGATGGGAACTCGTTCCCTACCCAAAACGGTGGTGGATATGAGCATAGCAAAGCCCATAGAAACCAAGGCGACACCGCCGGTCTTCAATGCCGCCGTCCTCAGTCGCGAGGACTACATCCCCGAACAATTCGTCTGGCCCGAGCACGAGAAGCCGACTCCCGACGCCCACGAAGAGCTCTCTGTCCCCCTGATCGACCTCGGCGGGTTGCGGTCCGGTGACCCCGCTGCCGCGGCCGCCGTCACTAGGTCCGTCGCCGGCGCGTGTGAGCGGCACGGGTTCTTCCACGTCGTCAACCACCGCATCGACGCAGAGCTTCTGGCGGAGGCGCACCGCGCCGCGGAGGCCTTCTTCGCGATGCCGTTGGCGGCGAAGCAGCTCGCGCGGCGGAAGCCCGGGGAGAGCTGCGGCTACGCCAGCAGCTTCACGGGGAGGTTTGCGAGCAAGCTGCCGTGGAAGGAAACCCTCTCGTTCCGCTTCTCCCCCTCGCCGCTCGCCGGAGGCGTCGTGCGGGACTACATCGTCGACGCCCTCGGCGAAGACTTCCGCCACTTGGGGTAAGAGAGACCGACAACAGCAAGCTGCCAAAGGTATCGTACGCTTTGCTAAGCTGACGTTGACGGTGCGATGACAGGGAGGTGTACCAGCGATACTGCGAGGCGATGAGCCGGTTGTCACTGGAGATAATGGAGGTGCTCGGATTGAGCTTGGGAGTGGGGGAGGCACACTTCCGGGACTTCTTCGAGGGCAACGACTCGATAATGCGGCTGAACTACTACCCGCCGTGCCGGCAGCCGGAACTCACGCTGGGCACCGGCCCCCATTGCGACCCCACCTCGCTCACCATCCTCCACCAGGACGACGTCCGAGGCCTGCAGGTCCTCGCCGACGGCAGGTGGCGCACCATCAGCCCCAAGCCCGACGCCTTCGTCGTCAACATCGGTGACACTTTCATGGTAAGCCCACCATCCCATCCAATCCCGATCCCCTTCACTGAGTTGAGTTAACACACCCCGCGTAGGCGCTGTCGAACGGGAGGTACAAGAGTTGCCTACACAGAGCAGTGGTGAACAGAGAGGTGCCGCGAAAGTCGCTGGCCTTCTTCTTGTGCCCGGCCACCGACAGGGTGGTGCGCCCGCCAGGGGCGCTGGTGGACGCCGACCATCCCAGGGCGTATCCGGACTTCACGTGGCCCACGCTGCTCGAGTTCACCCAGAAGCATTATAGAGCCGACATGAAGACCCTCGACGCCTTCACGAGCTGGATTCGCCGGGCCGAAGCGACCGCGCCGCAGTGACCGCGACGCACCCAACTTGGACTCGTCATTTTTGGTTCTCAACAGTAGTTTATAGAGATGGAGAGGGAGAGAGAGAGAGAGAGAGGTATGCATCCAAATGCGTCAATGATGATGGATAGAAGAGCAAGGAGGCAAAGAGACAAGCTGAGACAGCCTACTTTTTCTGAAATTGGAAGTGGATGCAAATGAACACATGCTCTCAGCTAGAGTAGCTTGTCCTCCACTGACAGCAGCGTAATAGTCCCCAACTTTTCTTCATCTGTAATGTAGCATCTTGCACCAGAGGGAGGCTGCCAATGGTTGGGGCCCTGGCGGCAACAAAGCAAGATTTCTCTTTCAAGCTCTCGCTTACATTAGCAGTAGAAAGAAAGAAGAAAGGGATTTGTCCTGGAAACAGGCAACAAAGCTTGGGAAGATGAATGCCCATGAGAGCTACGCCTCCCCTGCCATTGTCCGGTAGTCGCCAAGGCAGAGGACAAGTCTGCGGGCGAGTGGCGCTCCCACCCATGGAGCTCTTGCACCACTTTGTTGCTTTCATTCTCCTTTTCCCGCAGTGCACGAGGGCGAGGTAGTGGAATCCTTGTCCTCTTGTGCTGCCCCTCCATCTTAATTGGTGGGTTCTTCTGAACCCATCACAACACTCATATGTCTCAATCCCTATCCCAAATTCCATTTTTTCCCCCACTCTAACTGGAATACCAAAAAAATATTATCACACTAAACTTATCTCTTTAAATTTCAGAGCCAAAATGTTTTTCCAAATATTCCTTTATTTATTTAAAGACCACATAATCATAACTCAAACTTCTGTAATATTACAGTTGCACAACTCTAAAAAGAATACTTACAGTTGTAATTTATATCTAGTGTGAGACTAATTAAGATATCACACTCTCTTCAAATGGGGCCACAAAACTAACACAAATCCTAAGTGGAAAATGGTATACAAGGATAACTCATAGGACTTTGAGATATATAATATCTTTTTGGGAGCATCTCTCTATGATCATGGAAGGTCACATCTTATTCCTAGCCAGATAATAACTTCAGTGCATTCGAACTCACACATAAATTCTCGACCTTGTCGTGTTACACAAAGTAGTGTACACAATGAATGCCCACTAATTGTTTTTTCTTACATCTTATAGTTGATAATTTCTCACAATAATACGAAAATTAATAAAAAAAGGGTAAAATAAATCCAATGCATGAGATTCCTATCAAAATACCACATCCACAAGATTTAAGTTGAAAATAAATAACTGGATCATTATTTTATTGTAAGATAATATAAAATAAGAAGAGGATAGAACTTGATACAATGATAAGGTTACTCCTTTATGACATGATATAGTTACTTGATATAAGGTTACTCCTTTATGATATGAAATATCAAGAAATGAATCAGGAACCAATTTCTAGTTGGGGCCTATAAAGATATCTGATGATGGTTAAGTTGAAGTGTTGAAATATAAACTGAGTTTTGTTTTTCTTATACTAGAAATGAAAAAATGTATGAAAATGAAATATCATATCATAAAGCGGTGCTTGAATCTTAAAACTGGTGCATAACAATGAATGTGACAATTCAAGATGTATATGCTGACCTGCAAACCTGGATTTTTTTTTTTTTCTGCCTTAAGAGAATCCTTAGAACTGCATAAGAAGAAGAGTGACATAAGCCCGTTCTCTGAGCACAGGATATGGTTGCGTAAATTCCTTGATATAATAAAATTAGGTTGTTTGTGTGAACTTAAATCCCTTTCATGCCTGATCAGAAGCTAAAGTCTTGCAGATAAACTCACCCACTGTATTGTTCAGTGGATGAAACTATCAACCCCATAACTTTCTTGTCAATCTTGATGCCTAAATTTCTACAGAGATCACTATTGAATTGCTGCAACTTGGATTCTTGTCAGAGAACACCCAGTTAATCAAGCAGATACATCACTTCATGTTATAAAGATCTTTGTAATTCTTTCCCAATACTTAAGTCAGCATATTCTTCGAGGATGAGGAATTTTAAGTATGTTTGATATGAGAAATAAGGATACCTCAACGGATATAATCTAAGCCTGTAGTCTAAAATCAAGCTTAGATTATTTGTGCTCTTAAGAGCAGACTTTTTTCTGCTCAGCCAAAGGACAAGTCTGTTAACTCTTTATACTACGTGAGAGAATGAACGATACGTACCAGCCAATGGAACTCCTGTCATATGCTTGCTCTACTTGCTTCCTTGGTTTCCACCGTACTTGTCCATCCCACAGCGAGCACAGTCCGATCCCTGACAGTGACAAGGAAATGGCGTGTCAGAGTGAGGCAGTGGCGAGCACCAGCGTGGCACACGCAATCCCTGGAGGATCTCCCGGTCGACACAACAACGAGGGAGTCCAGGAGAAGTCACCAACCTGCTCTCTTTTCCTGTCCCAAGTAAACGACAAGAAAGGCACGGAATCACAGACAAGAACAATCAAAGAGATAAGGCGTACAAGTGGCTCATTACAAGGGGGGAGAGATGAAGGTGATGGTGGTGGAGGTGGAGGTGGAGGTGGTGGTGGCGGTGGTGGGGATGCCTGTGGCCAAAAGCCTTTTGTTTGCCGGTCTTCCTAAGTGTGTTGCATGAGATGAATGTACTTGAAGAAGAGTGAAGTGGTGTTGTGACCAGCATTAGACTTGATGCTACTGCCTACTTTTGTGTGCTGAGATGATTGTACTTGGAAAGGAGTGGAATGGCTGTTGGAGACCAACACTGGGCTGGGACTTTAAGGGATAACAATGGCCACTTTGGGAGGCTAAAGTGACCTCATGAAAGACCCCAACACAAAAAGTAAGGTCAAACCCCTTTTCATCACTAGTAGTAGCTTCATCCTTAATATGGCATATCAAAAGCTCAAAGGTGCCAAGAAAGCTGTAATCTAACACCATAAGCTTGCTTGTCCTTGGCCCAACAATATAATCTCCTCAAGGTTTCCCTTCTCAAGTATATCTAATCTATTCTTTCACAACCTGCCAAGACAGGAACAATGATGTCCATTGAATGAAGCACTTGATGAGTGCCAGCCACTACCCATATTCCAATAGTAGCAGGCACTGATGCCATCATCTTCTAGAGATTGGGGTTTTTGATTAATGAACAACGCCAACAGGGGTTCCACAGCACTCACTGTATGAGGTGAGATCCCAAATGTATGTTGAGGATGATGCTTCAGTGGAATAGATTGAGAAATGAAGAGTTTGGGACTCGACATGGTTATGGTATTCAAATCCATCCTTGTGGTTATTAAGATAAATTAACTGATATGATTAAGTTATGTTTTCAGCAGCATATGCACATATCATCATTTAATGATCAGTGGGTCTTTAAGCAAATTGGTGTGGGGAGCATAAACTAGAATTTACTGGTAGTTCATCAAATAAATACCTAATCAAACACCAAGAAGATGTAGGAGCTGCTTATGGGCCAAGGATTGTGAAAATTTCACATAACAATTCACCAGTCGAATACCTCAAAATATTGAAATATGCATATTACTCATGCCTCATAAGTTAGTGATTTTTCATTGTTTTCTCATTCTAAATTTAAGTTTATGCATATGTAAATAATTCTATACGACTCAAAAACTTACATATGTACCACTATAAGAAATTTCGTCAGTTAACTGTTAGTATGACAATGTTAATACTTTAATTTCAATTAAATTTAATCCTGCTTCAAAAATATTATGTATACCTTTTAAATTAATAACATTTACATTTTCCTTTCTGAATTTAAGTTTCATAAACAAGAAATTAAATACTCAATGAAAATGATAAGAGGCATTTTAGGTACTTCAAATTTTAATATTTTTCTGACCTCACTGTTAGTGATAGTTAGTAGTAATTAACATAGATTTATTGATTTGATGCTAACAAGAGTGACATATAAAAAGAATTTAAATAGTCAAACAATTTGTTATATGCAAAGAATCTAAATATTTAAAGGGATATATATTAAAATCTGGAGGAGCAAATATACTATTTCCAAACATTGCAAGTATAGATATGCAAAAACCCATAATATTTCCCTACATTTCAATGCCCTTTTGGCTTTCCTTTGGAATGATGAGACTGGTTGAGTGAAGCCAGTTCAAATTGACCTACATTGCAACTGACGCATATCCAATTTGTAATATACCATCAAATCAAATCCATCTTATTGTGGGTTCAGATGTCATAATTGAAGGATACAAACTAGGCTTTTCATGAAAATAATTGAGAGTGCTAATCAAGCAAATGACTCCATCCATAAGTAAGAATGACAGCAGATAAGTGGCTGTAAATTTCATCCTATCCATTTCCTGAATCCAATTACTACGTTGACAATCAAACTAGTCTCAGGACTGACTTCAATACTTAATTTTTCTATGTAATAAATCTCTACCACAACAAAAATGATAGCAAATAGAATTCTCAAGAATTTCATCATATCTATTAGCAAACCTGATTAAATATTACTCAAATCTGTCCTAATTTGACTCAGGCATCTATTTTTCTACCCATATTCATCTGATAATCCAATTTAAACAGGCCGAGTAGGTAGAAATACCTGTGATTCATTGTCATCTCTCTCGGAAAAGAAAAAAATATAGCCACCTCCAAAGCAAATTGAACAATTTATTTAATTTCTTGATTCATTGCTAAGTGAGCAACAAGAACAGCCCTAGAAGACACAACTTTCAAGGATTAAGCTCTTATAAGAAGATTGGTTATAGTCTATGACGAACCCTTCATGTAGATGATGGGTTGTAAGAAGCCTAGTAGTGTTTATAATCTGCTCTAGCTAAAACATGAGACATAAAGGTTGCAGGAATCTAATAGGAAACATGCTGAAGTTAATGACTATTGATACATGAAGGAGATTTCAGAAAAGAATGATGAGCAAAGAGACAATACCTCAGTTTACAAGTCCAAAACAACAAAATATTCTTAGGTGAGCATGGAAGCTTCCATCCGATTGATATGGAGAAAGACCTGATCACTGTGTCTCTGTTTTGTTGTAAAATCAATCCTCCTGCCTTTTTGTGACTCATCTAACAAATTCAAAAAGCCTGTTAGACTGAATATATGCTTCCACCTGATCCTTCAATGGCTTTGATGTTCTTTTCACCAGTTCATATTGAGATATACAGTTTAGTTCATTAGAGTTGGTCAATCTATATAACAATGTTCAGAGAGATGACTCTAGGAGTAAAAAGGTGTTCTGATTTTTCAAATGAGAATGAGTAACAGTTCAAAACACACAAATAGCCTTAAGGCTACTCAAAACTCAAGCACTTGTTTACTTGAGCTAAATGCAAGGAGCCTAAGCAACTGGATAGACCTTGGTCCAAGATCAACCCTAATCCAGATCAAAATGCATCAGATGCCTCTTACCACTACTGACGACTACATACAGAAGCTTCAGATTTACTTTCTAAAAGAAAACCAATGATTATTTTAGAACTAAGAAAATTCAAAGATCTCATGGAAAAGAGATGTTACAGAACTAACCTGTCACATCCGAAGTGATGAATATATTTTCAATATGTTTAACAAGAGTCTCAAGAATCACAAGTAGTGTCACGAAAGTAGCTATTTAGAAATTAGAAAGTCAGCATCGATTAAAACTCCCAAGGCCATTCCAGATACAATCAATTTTGATAGAGATATTTGCCAAAAGCAAATGGCAATCAGCTTTCCCGAATGGTTTTTTCAGTAGAAATTCCAGATAGATCAATGGCAAATTTACGGTATTATGGTGCAAGGTTTTCCTTGCACACAGTTAACTGCTACTTTCTATAGTTTAGAATCAAAAGCCATCAGATAAGGAGAATTACAGTGAGCATGTATATGTAAAATACATAATTATTTCACTGCAGGAAAAAAATGGATCAAACATCATAAAAAGAATTGTTTTAACAGGAGAACCTGCTTGTAACTTATGTGACAAGTGACAACTGTAGGCTTCTTCTCCCTGCAGGTAAATTCACTTGGCTTTGAAATGATAATGCCAATTCTAAAACACTATGAACAGCCCATTAGCATTACATTTTTCATCACAAAACAACATGGTTAACCCCATTAGAATCCAGTTGCTCCTCGAGATGCTGTTAACTGTCAGCTACTGCATGGTGCATTGGCAGGAGCAGAACAGTAGACAGAAGTTACCTATGTCCTGATTCCTATTCATATGTCCCATGGTAATGGACAGTAAATGGCCAATGGCAAGTCTAGAATTTTTTCAAAACAACAATTAAGTAACTGATCAAAAGCTTAAATACGATTTGCAAATATGAAGTTATGCACCTGCTGATCCAGTGTTCTGCAGAATATGATAAATTGCACCCAATATACTAGGAATTAGTTCCACTCCTATAAAAAACTAGGTTTTGTGAAAATAACTACAAGTATTTTCATTACTTACAAACAATATATAATCCTTGATCAATAAGTGAAAACAAATCGAAGGCCTTATGCAGAGGCTACACTGCCATCCGCCTGGTTTGGCAATATTTAAGTTATTCAGCTTCCAAAAAGTTATGCTGAAAGGTGTTTAGAAGTGGCTGAAGTAAGAAATAGGTGAGCAAGAAGAGCAAGATAACTAAATGAAACCTAAAGGATCATCACAGGTGAAGTTATCAGCAAATTTAAGGGTAAAATTTCCTGCAATCATAGGACATTAACAAGTATACAAATCAGAAAACAAAACGAAAATAAACCATATTAAGATTATAAAAATACCATAATTTTCACCAGACTTGGTTTTAGAGATATAAGATACTCCATCATTGTATTGGCTCCTTCAGATTCACATTCCTAAGCAACATCAAGGTTATAGACATGTCACTACATTTAATTTACGACCTTTGTATGATTTCTAACCTAATAATCATATCTACAAAAGAAATTCCTGTCATAGGTCATCCAGTGCTTATTCGTGATATATGCAATCAAGTCCAACTTCTTTCCAGCCTTTATCATTTTTTAGGCAAGCAGTAATAGAAACCCAACTAGTGTAGTCCCAAAACGCAGTCGTGTCAACTGAAGAACAAAAAACATCACATGGCAAAGCTGAAGTTCAAGACTTCCTTTTTTCTTTTTGATCTAGGGACACGATTAAAATCAATTACCACAAAAAAGACAAGTACGAATAAGATTCAGTTGGTGGAAGGCAAGTAGCAAGCAACCAGTCAAACTAATCCCCTCTTGGGCCAAAATGTTTTGGAGCAAAGCAGATTTTGTTTTGCATTAAAAGACAGCAAAGAATTTTAGTTCTTTCTACTTTTATAACCAAGCTTACCATATCCCATCCTTCTCCCTGACGTAACCAGAACCTTTTCCAAAGCTTTCTTCCCTACAGATAGGTAACTTCCCCCATCCATCAAATTTTCAAAGAATTCTCAGCCTGTTGAAACCTGTATATGAAAAGTTTGGTCACAGAGAGAAGCAAAAAAGAAAGAGTTATGTACATATGTCTGTCAATTTTATTCATATGCCGAATCCTGGGTGAACATAATTAGATGTATGATGAAGCCTAAGGGGACAATGCATCCACCTGAACCACAGTCTGGGCAATGAAGACATCTACCAAGTAGAATAAGACAATGATTGAAAATGTGACTTACGTACTGCAATTCAAATGCCAACGTCCAACATGTATTGTGGATACTGCCAACCTAGAGTCCAAGGGCGGATACTGTTTTACTTCATGCATATTCATATGCACATACATGAACATACATTTTTAAACATATTAAATGAAAAAGATTTAATTGGATCCAATATTAAACCTCGATGAAAGGAAGATTCAATTTTGTTGTTGAATGATCAAGAGCTCCACTTGTACGCATAGACTTAGCATGTCAATGAAAGATAACATATAATTAGGAAGGGAATTAAAGGCCATTAGTAGCTAGAAATTGCACTTGTTAGTCAAAGAAGATGATGAACTGATACTTCTTTTCACATTGAAATCATCTATTAAAGGATGGGTGCCTGTGTGTTACCTGCAAGAATTGCAACACAATCTGATTGTGTAATGAAAAACAGGTCTTCCAAGTATCATATTTGATCACCATCACCTGAAGGCAATTTAATTTTTCATTATGAGAATGAACTCATTCAAAATATGCACTTTTGACCTTCCAATAGATGGAAATGACATGGAGGAGATTACAATGTTTGAAGTAGGTAAAATGACAGGTCAAACACAATGGACCATGTGCATCCTTAATCTTCAAAGAAATACACTTTTCTTATAAAAATAGGATCCTAGGAAAATCTTATAGCTACTACCTTCTTCACTAATAAGCACTAATTGTAAACAGCACAGTTAAAAATTAACTGTAAAGCCAATTGCATTGATATCTATCTTTGTGGTCCTATACCCATCAACATTGAAAATTGTTAAATCCAGAGGCAAATATTTGCAGTAAACTACTTTTCTTGGAAAATTTTTGGTGGTCCACATTTTTAAATTGTAAATCAGGTTTGGCATCTTTTGTTTTGTACTGGCAAAAAAAAAATTATTATCCAATTTAAGCTGCTCTCATCAGTTTCACCTGGACATAAATATTTTGCTACAAAGGTAAATGAATTTGTCCAATTGTGAAAAGTGAGACTGTAAAGAAGCATTTTTGCAACTACATGTAACAGGCTTACATAACATAGCAGGTCTTCATTTGTAAATGATTTCTTCCTAATATAATAGACTAAAGATTTGCAAGAATACAAAACTCTACGTTGACATATCACATATATCATGAACTAACAGCCGCTTGCTGTTCCCAAATCTGGTACGTTTTCAGCAAACATAACATTAGCAAGATATTTAGCCTATCTTTTCCAAGATTATCGAGAGATAAAAAGTATCAAAAGTGCAGAAGAAAAGGACTCTAAATTGTTTTCTCACATAAGATAGGAGCAGGTTGACCATGCCTAAAATCTTCTAAAGGCACTCCAATTGAGATGCTATCCTGTGTAAAAAAATAATAACATTTAGGTTAAAACTAAAGCATGTCTAAAAATATAGCTCTTGCAAAAGCTCCAATCTCAAACCAGGCCAGTTCCAAGGCGATCCACAAATATGGGTTCTGCATATGGATCAGTCACTGCATGCATGGCATGAAACATAATCCTGGAGAATTTGCTCTTTTATGAAAGAATTTGCCCTTTTCGTAAGGAAAGATAAGTATGTTATTCTGCTAGAAATTCATAATTAATCCTGGAAGAACCATATTACGATTTCAAGAAAATAAACTCTAAAAATATTCAAATATTAGGGTAAGAGATAATTGTTAAGAGAACATTGAATGAAGAAAACACATAACCAGCTTCAACTCGACCAGCGAATTACAGCAGACATTTCGGCATTAAATGGACTAGCAGATCCTCGATAAGCCGGAAAATTGAAAACATCATGCAAAGGTAATGAAAAGAGCCCTAGAAATTACAGGACATGAAAAAGATGGACAAATGGGAACATGTGGATGTTATTGTTCTAGTTTAGGTCTTCTGTCATTCGACCCACCGGCTTCGTGGGGATCAATCTGCGGAGCCCTAACCATTAGCGAATGGAAGAGAGAAAGATGGAAGAGCCCTAACCTTCGAGAGGATGACTGAGCCCGAGATCTTGACGCCCCTTGTCCGTGGGCGGGGCAGAAGAAGCCTTCATCGAGAACCAGAATTGGTGGGTGAACTGATCAAAACAT